TATGTGGGATCCAAACCCTCGGCGGGAGCGCCACCACGCTCCCAAGCGGCGCACTGTAGCAGTGCGCCACCGGGCCGGCCCCATTTTGACCATTTTTAAGGGTACAGTTTAGTGGCATTAAGTACATTCATTTTTTTGTGCAACCATTGCCACCATCTATCTCCAAACCTTTTTCATCTTGCAAAACTGAAACTACCCATTAAGCTGTAACTTAATTCCTGCATTCCCATTCCCACCCCTACTCTATCCCCCAGCCACTGGCAGTTACTTTCTGTCTCTATGAATTGAACTATTCTAGATACCTCATTTTAGGGGAGTCCTTCACTTCACTAAGTTTATTTCACTTAGCATAATGTCCTCAAGGTTCATCCACGTTGTAGCATGTCAGAATTTCCTTCCTTTTTAAGGCTGAATAATATTTCATTGTATGTATATACCACATTTTGTTTATCTGTACATCTGTTGATGGACACTTGGGTTGCTTCCACCTTTTGCCTTTTGTGGATAATGTTGCTATGGACATGGGTGTACGAAATATCTGTCCCTGTCCATGCTTTAAAATTTGGGGGTATATAGCCAGAAGTGGAATTTCTGGATCATACGGTAATTCTATTTTTAATTTTTTGAAGTGGAATTGCTGGATCATATAGTAATTCTATTTTAAATATTCTGAGGAGCTGCCATATTATTTTCCATAGTGGCTACACCATTTTACATTCCCATCAGCAGTGTACAAGGGTTTTAATTTCTCCGCATCCTTGACAACATTTGTTCTTTTCTGTTTTTTTAATAATAGCCATCTTAGTGGGTGTGAAGTAATATCTCATTGTAGTTTTGATTTCAGTTCCCTAGTGATTGATGTTGTTGAGTATCTTTTCATGTACTTATTTATTGTGTTCCTTCTTTGGAAAAATGTCTATTATATTCTTTGCCCATTTTTAAATCAGGTTGGTTGTTTTTCAACATGTCCTTTTAAGTATCATATTTGGGAAACAGTGAACTACATCTTAGACTAGCAAAGTAAATACTGTCTATGACTGCTTCTTTCCTTAGCCTTTTTTTTTTTTAATTGTAAAGAAATAAAATGTAGGGGCCGGCCCGGTGGCGCACTGCTGTAGTGCGCCGCTTGGGAAGTGCGGTGGCACTCCCGCCGAGGGTTCGGATCCCACATACAGACCGGTTCCCGCTCACTGGCTGAGCGAGGCACGGGAGCAACACCGAGGGTTGCGATCCCGTTGCCGGTCCTGGTCCGGTACAGGGACGACACTGAGGGTTGCGATCCGTGGCTGGACACGGAAAAAAGACAAAAAGGAAAAACAAAAACAAAAAAAAGGAAATAAAATGTATTTCTTACAGTTTGGAGGCTGGGAAGTTCATGGTCCAGCAGGTACATCTGATGAGAGCCTTCTTCTTGGTGGGGGCTCTGTACAGAGTCCCATAGTGACACAGGCAATCACATGGCGAGAATGGCCTTAGCCCAATTTTTTTAAGGGGGTGGGGAATTTCTTCCCTGAGAGGCTTCACCTAGCTTAGTCCTTAGTGTGAAATTTCCTTACCGATTTCTCTGTTGTTCAGAAATTAAATCCACTATGGAATTTCAGAAAGTTGAATAAAAAGACCAATCAAAGAGCTGTGAATAGTAGTTAATTAACTAAAGCAACATTTTTTGAACAGTAATAAAAAATGATAACTTAAAATTTTGTACCACAATTGACGAGTATAAGAACCATTACCTCAGTTAACATTCATCTCACAATACCAAGCTTCTGTTTCCTATCAGTGTCTCTTTCTGGGTCCCTCAGTTTGTCTACCTCTTTTATGCTTTTTTCTCTCTTTTTTTTTTTTCTTAGTCTTTCTTGTTCCAACTCTTTCTCTTTTTCCTTCATGTCTACTTCATTTTCCTTCTCCTTCCTCTTTTCTTCCTTAAATGACTATATCGTGAAACAATTAGTATTCATTACCTATATGTTAAATAATCTTTTATTTTCTGTCCTAGAGTTTAAAGAGCTAAGAAAAATAAAATAAATTGATTTTTTTTAAACTTGTCTGGGACCCTAGTAACCTTGTACTGCACCATCCGTATTAGTCCGTTTTGTGTTCTTATAACAAAATACATGGAACTGGGTCATTATAAAGAAAAACAAAATTTATTGCTTACAGTTTCTAAGGCTGGGAAGTCCAGAGTCCATCTGGTGGTCGTGACAGTGACCTAGAGGTCTCACATTGCAAGATGGTAGAAGCAGAGAGAGCAAGAAAGACAGACTCTCCTCTTTTTTTAAAGCCCTCAGAACCACACCCCTGACCACCATTTTTAACCCATTCACTACTGCACGGTCCTACAATCCAATCACCTCTTCAAGGCTCCACCTTTCGATTACCATAATAGGATTTCCCACCCTCTTAACAGTCACAGTGGGGGCTAAGATTCTAATACCTAAACTTGGGGGACACAATTCAAGCTTCAGGGAGTTTTGGAAGGACATACTTCAGTTCACTACACCATCTTAGTCTGTCTTTAGCTGTCACTCCCTCAGCAATAGATATAAGCAGCTAGGAAAAGAAGAATGATTTTCATTTTTTAACCTCCTCCTTAGGCCACTGAGAGAGCCTCATCAAGACAGAATCTCATAAAGAAATATGGGGCATGTTGGCATTTACTATGGTAAAAACTTACTCAGTTTATTTTTTAGCAAATGAAGAACAATTATATGAAAATTTTTCTTCTGTGGCTTTTAAAGTAGTTTGTTGCATTTCTAGAAGAAATGCCTTGCCAACCCAAGTCTTTGGTTAGGCTTCTTTGTTTGTCTAACCAAAGGTCCAAAAATGTATGCTTTTGAGTTCTTTTCTGGCTTTACCATAAAATCTGTTTTGCTGTTTTCACATTATCTACATGGATTATTCCAGAGTATTAGAATAACTTGGATTTTTTTAAGTGTACACTTTTTTTATCAAAGTGAAATTCACGTAACATTAAATTAACCATTTTAAAGTAAACAATTCAGTGGCACTTAGTACGTTTACAAGGTTGTGCAGTCACTACCTCTATCTAGTTCCAAAACATTTTCATTACCCTAAACACAATTTCAATTTTTCAAAACAGCTTTTTTTTGAGGAAAAAAAAAAGAGTTTAGAATAATTCTTCATTGTTTTATTTGCTTATAGCCTGATATAAAGTACTGAATTGTAACTGTTTATTTTTAGGTGATTTCAAGTGTCCTATCAAAGAGGAAATAGCAATTACCAGTGGTGAATGGGAAGTTCTTGGCCGGCATGGATCTAATGTATGTTCTTTTATTCTACTGATACATTTGGTCAACATCTGCTGCATGTATGCAGTACTAAAAATCACCAGTGTTTTGAAAATATTGTTAGGGCCTAAAAGAACTCAAGTTGTTCGAAAAGAAGAATCTTCAAATTATAAATCTCACCCATTTTATAGCTCTGGTATTAGATATGTTCTGGTTACTAAAGGTCATTTTAAAATATATTGTTGCTACTAATAAGGAAAGGGCTGGTCCACACTTTTAGAGTCTAGCAAAAGTTGTGTTAGGATATAGTTTGAAAATTATTTTTAAATCTATTATAGACTACTTGTGTTGTTTCTGCATTAAAGTTGCATTTACTATTCCTGAGGTAGTGATTCTCTTTTATTCACCTGTTTATCTTATCTCACAAATTTAAACTTTCATCCACCACCTGCAAAGAGTAATGGGTATTTATGCAGAGCTTAGATTGATAGGGAAGAGGAGGGAAATCCACCCTTTGTTTTGCTGTCAGCTTGTGGCTTTCTGTAGTAATTCAGTGAATTTTTTTTTTCCCTTTCATAGTACCTTGCATTTGTTTCAGCTTTTAGTTAGTTGGTCAGTTTCAAGTTTCATGAGATCTCTTGAGAACTCCATCCTTTCTATGTGTGACACATACAGTTAAGTTGATGCATGCTACCAGGATTTAGTGAAGGCTTAAATGTGATTTCCTCAAATTGATATGGAGATTTATTGAAAGATAATGTATCCTGGCTACTGTAGAAATCACTTGTAGTTCCTAAGGTTATTAAAGAGAAAGAACAAAGATTCTGGTACCAGGTTGTTTTTGTTGGTTAAAAACTTTAAAATATCATAGGTGACCTTTAAAGTCTAATGTCCACTGAGAGCCTCACATGGCCTTCTGATTATATATCCAATTATACTTTTTTCTGTTTAGGGACCCTGGATGTTATTGTCACCTGAGAAAAAATCTTATTGTGGAGTTCTAGGTTCTGATAACAGAAAATTACACTAATGTAAATTTCATGCTGTGTGATGGTTGGAAGATGAGCCATTTGATAATACTGAGGGAATCTCAAAAATTGTATTTATGCAGCTCTGATCCTTATGTGGGCAACCTAAATGTCTCTCTACTACTTGCCACTGTGTGCATCGATTTTCTTCTTTATGTCATGCTTATTTATGTGGTATATTTGTCTCTTTTTCTCTTCCTCTTCTGTTTTCCTTCTATCCTTGTTTTGTCTTATGTCTTTTTTAAGTTACCTTTTTCCTTCTCTGCTTTTACAAGTGACCTTGTTCTCATCCAAAGATTTCTAATGGCAATAATTGAATAAAGCTTTGAGACTTTAAGCCCATGTGCCTCTTACTGTTGAGAGTGGTTCTCAAAGTATGGTCCCTGGACCAGAAGCAGAGCATCAGCATCACCTGGGAACCTGTTAGAAATGGGATTCTTGGACCCACCCAGATCTCCTGAATCAGAAGCTCTAGTGGTGTGGCCCAGCAATCTGTTTAACAATCCTTCCAGGTGATTCTGATACTTCTGTAGAATATAAGTAGTTATATGAAACAAAAGAACCATTGTAGATGGGGGTGAGGAATTGACTAGTTATTTCTTCAGTTTTGAAAGGCTTGACTCTCAGCTACTAAATCAAGAGAAGAACCAGTGCTGACCTTTTGCAGAGATTAACACATGCCCATGAAATTTTATGAATATTTGTTTCTTATCATTTGTATACTTTCTGTATATGTCATATGGGCCTACTCAATCGCAACTGTATTTATTTCAATATTTAAAAATACTTGCTTTTAGAAATATATCAGTTTCCTTTGCTGTATAAAAAATTTTGAATTTTATTATATATTGAGTAGACTGGTAGAAGATTTTTTTTTAATTTATTTTTTAATTTTTTATTTTTTTAATTCTTTTTTTATTTTAAAATTTTATTTTGTCGATATACAATGAGGTTGATTATTGTGGCCCATTACCGAAACCCCCCTGGTAGAAGATTTTTTTTTAATTTATTTTTTAATTTTTTATTTTTTTAATTCTTTTTTTATTTTAAAATTTTATTTTGTCGATATACAATGAGGTTGATTATTGTGGCCCATTACCGAAACCCCCCTGGTAGAAGATTTTTTTAAAGGAACGATGAAAGAAAGTCATTTATTTAGAATCTTAGAGTCTTTCAAGTATGCATGAATGGTTGACCTAAGCTGCAATATGGGATTTTTTTTTCTCCCTGTAAAGAGTTGTTATTTTAAGGAAATAATTCTCATGTTTTAAGAAAAGTATACATTCTGACCAGATAGGAAACTGTACAAACAGTGTACAACTCAGGTGCCCTTTTTCCTTCTGGACAGATTCTGTTCTTAGCTGTAAGTCATAAGCAAAACTAACTTAGGTTTATTAACACTGGTAGCAAAAATTTTTTTTAAAAAGAGGCAAAAGCCAAAGGTGATTCAAATGATTCTGAGTAAATTGGGGGTTGTTTGTTGAATTAGTGGTCTTGTCAAGATCATGCTAACACTGATTTTTTTGTTGTTATTTTGGCAGATCCAGGTTGATGAAATCAGAAGGCTGGTATATTTCGAGGGCACCAAAGACTCCCCTTTAGAACATCACCTGTATGTGGTCAGTTATGTAAATCCTGGAGAGGTGACAAGGCTGACCGACCGTGGCTATTCCCATTCTTGCTGCATCAGCCAGGTATTAAGTCCCTATTTGAAAAGGGTTTCCTGTCATACAAAAACCCTCTGCTCATGTAATACTCCTTTTGAATGATGTGAAATTGGCCTGCAGAAGTCTAAGTCTCTTAGGAAAAGCTTTAAAAAGCTTAGCCTTAACTTCAGCATTGTGTATGTACATAAATAGTCTTTTTATTATATTCTTGCTATAGCATTAGTGCAGATGTAACAGCAGATAGCCTTTTTTTACTTTCCCTGAGGAAAAACATAATTGTTTCTCTTTTCTCTAGCATTGTGACTTCTTTATAAGTAAGTATAGTAACCAGAAGAATCCACACTGTGTGTCCCTTTACAAGTTATCAAGTCCTGAAGATGACCCAACTTGCAAAACAAAGGAATTTTGGGCCACCATTTTGGATTCAGCAGGTACTCTTTTTCCCTGAAACTGACCTTAAATAGGATTAATAAGTACATTAGTGCACTAAACTTGTATCATATGTCCACATTTCCTGGACAGAGTCTTCCCGTTTCTCACCGCAGCAGTCCGTGAGTTGCTGGGCTCCTGATTTCAACCTTTCCTATTCTATCAACTACTGAATAAGATGGTTTATTACCTCTACTCCAGGCAGGAGCAGGTCTGAAAGGCCTTTTTGAAAATAAGATTAAAATAGTCAAGATATCAGCTAGGAATTATTTATTCACACATTTGGATGATATCTAAGATAAACAAATGAACTTGAAGACTAGTCCTAGTGCAGTGGTGGTGTTTATAGCTAACTGATCAAAACTCCCCACCATAGACTTCTTTGTTCCTTCTCTACTCCCACTGTTTCACTTGACTCACCAAAAAAAAAAAAAAGAACTTGAGGATAATGTATTTTGGAACTAGTAAGACCTAGTAAGTTTAGAAGCTGCTGCTTTAGGGAATAGCCAGCTGCTACCTTTCTTGAATTTTTGAAGTACTTGCAGTGGCCATTTTAATAAAACGTAGAACACTTTCTTTGTGTGTGACTGAGAAGCACTGTAAATTATCTATTTTTAAGATGCTTGATTTCTTAAACATAAAGAATGGACTAATTTTATGTATCTTTGAATTCACTTTGTCCCCAAGTCTTTTTTCCAATTAAGTATTTTTTCTCACTATATCTAATAAGGGATTAAGAAAGTAATGCAGAACCAAATGTTATAGATATGTTGTAATGTCCACAAACAGAATCTGTAATCTCTGCTTAGATCATTAATGTTATCCACATAGACCCTTCAGAGAGGTCTGTATAGATCTGATGAACCAAAGACTGATGACTTTCTTTTTTCTGGGTTCTTGTTAGGCTTATTCTGTAATGATCAGAAACAAATGTTTATTGAGTACCTACTGTGAACAAGTTAAATTGACTAAGTTAGAATATGTGCTCCCTTTTTCTTTTCCCCTAGCTTTATTGAGGTATATGCCTGTTTGTGATCATCTATATGGTTTAACCATCAATAAGTTACACTGAACTGAGTACAAAGTATTTGTATAGTGTGTGTTTAAACACCTCCTAAACTTTAAGGATTATTCAGGATGCTATGTGTCTGCTTCTGAAATAGATAATTTGATGTGTTCATTAGATTTTTTTTTAAGATGAATAATCTTGCTTTATTTCTAGGGTCTTGGTTTTGATATCTTCTTCCTTGCTCTCAGATTGTAGAGCTTCCTTAAGAACTCCTCTAACAGACTCTGTATGTTACCTACTCACAGGTCCTCTTCCTGACTATATCCCTCCAGAAATTTTCTCTTTTGAAAGTACTACTGGATTTAGATTGTATGGGATGCTGTACAAGCCTCATGATCTACAACCTGGAAAGAAGTACCCCACTGTGCTGTTCATCTATGGTGGTCCTCAGGTGGGCATATTTATATACATATGTACATACATACATACATATATATTTTTAGGCGATTTGTTTTTTAAATATCTTTTTAATTGTTTAGGTTAAGATTTTGAGCATTGTTGGGCCTCTGCTATTGTCAACTCAGGCTTATGTTCTAATTAATTATCCAGTATAGGAGTTCAGGAAGCTGGGATTTGTTAGATGACTAATTTGTAAATCAGTAAGTTAGTTTCTTAATTTACAGTGAGGACTATAACTGTGGTGGGGAGTGGAATATTCATGTCAGTAGGTAAATATGTTGCTTTCTATGCAGAAAAACTTGTTTGGGAAAAGAAAATAAATAATTAAATGTCTTGGTAAGTAAGATTCTTAACAGATATTTTCAGAAAGCCTTGGTAGCCTAGTGAATTCCCCCTCTTCATTCTAGGGCTATATATATCTTAAGCAAACTAGAATACTTTCATCAGCTGGGTAAGTCAACTCTGTACTACTGTTCAGCACTGTAAGAAGTTAACACCTTGATTTTTTTTCTGTATTAAATATTAGCAGGTTACTGTTGAGTAAATGCTGTTGACTATCAGAGTAAAATTTTGTGTTTTTTAAAAAATATTTTAACATTTGTTTATTTTTTTATTTTATTTATTTTTTTATTTTTTGGTGGCTGGCTGGTATAGGGATCTGAACCCTTGACCTGAGTGTTATAACACCACACTCTGACCAACTGAGCTAACTGGCCAGCCCAGAGTAAAATATTTTGGATAGGTGAATGGTTAATAGGTAATTTTTAAAGATGTTTATTTTTGATTATATATCTTACATTGTGCCCTTAAAGAAATTAGCATATAATTACAGTGTTTTCGTAATGCAGCTGTTAGACTCAGTAATATCCTTTGTAATTATTATTTAGTGTCTAGAAATGTATCTAGATAACAAGTCATACAGAAATAAAAGTAAAATAACTATGTAAGCCATAAAATCTCAGGGATGATGATTATGTATTAAGTTAAATCACTTTGCCATCAAGTGTGTTTCACGAACAAAACATGATTCACATTTGCATTCTAGTCATCTACATAAAACATGAAAGAGTTGAGTTAGATTCTATTAAAAACTTGAAGCTAGGTCTATGTAAACTTTTTAAAAAAGCTTAACTCAAAGCAATTGAGAAATTACAAGATACCCTCAGAAACTTTACATGTTTTGTTATATTATTTTGATAGTAAGGCTAAGTAAGAAGGGTGTTTCTCCTTCCCAGTCAAGAAATGATATGTGAGATGTGTGAAAGACACTATAAAAACTAGATTTTAATACTTAAAGGACTCACATTAGTAATTAAGTTTTAAAAGGCTTAGCCACATGAAAAGGTGGCTCAATATCATTAGTCATTAGGGAAATGCAAATCAAAACCATAATGAGATACCAGTTTACACCCATTAGGATGTCTGTTATCAAAAAAAAAAAAAGAAAAAGAAAAGAAAAATAGTAAGTTTTGTACAGGATATCGAGAAATTAGAACCCTGATCCATTGTTGGTGGGAATGTAAAATGGTCTAGCAACTATAGAAAGTATTCAGGCAGTTCCTCCAAAAGGTAAATATAGAATTACTATAAGATCCAGAAATTCAACTTCTGGAATATACCCAAAAGAATTGAAAGCAGGGACAGATATTTATATACCCATGTCCATAGCAGCTTTTTTTTTTTTTTTTTTTTCTTTTTTTTTTTTGTTTTTTTT